AGGACTTATTCGAATAAATGGTGGTTTATTCGAATAAAACAGGTTAATCTCAGTCACAAGAAAGATCACGACTTATTCGAATAAACTAAAAATTATTCGAATAGAAAGGCAACTTCCCCACACAAAGGCTGATCTAAAATGTGTTTTAAAGGTAAGAAGATAAGGGAATGAACCTTAGAGATGCCATACTCTTTAACACATAATCTAAGACCTAAAACACTACCCAGCTAAGGAAACAACCTCTTCGGTCTCGTTCCTTCCACCGATGCTCAAGTCCCTTCTTCACGGACGGATATGAACTTGTTGTAGCTTTGATTCTTAGCCTTGATGCACAAAATGATGATGATGTTTTGTCACTCTTTTGTCATTATCAAAACCTAAAAGACAATGGGCAAAGGACAATGCAAAAATACATATTCATGATAGCACATTGTCCAACACCTTATTTTGGGCAATCTTGGAAACATGGGGGTAAATGTCTGAAGGATAACTGGTGGGAAGAGGAGAATAACCGGCCACTTCCAGCCAGTCTACCCACTGCTCGTATGACTCGTTCTCAGGATCATAAGGAGCCGGCTCGTCTTCAGCCGGTACATCCCTCTCCTGAAATACTTGACCGGGCATCTGATTTACAGGCCGCGGTTCGGGGATATTAGGGTTGGGAACCGACCGGGTTCTAGAAATGGGTGAAGATGACCCGGTCGACGAAGAAGAGGACAGGGGTTCCTCAGACGCGTGGGCATCTGAGGCGGAAATGTCTTGACTATCGGAAGAAGACATTGACCGGAAACAAAAGTGAAGAACGAAAGGAAAAAGCTGAGGAAAAGGAAGAGGCTTACTTGGCTCGGAGGGCTGGAAGGCGAGAGGAAGATGGACCGGTAGGAGCTCTGGAAACGAATTGCGAAAAGTGAGAAAGGAAGAGGGATGGAACTCTTTATATAGGCGAGGAGTGAAGGGAAAGGAGCGACGTGGCCTATGCAGAGCGTGCCGCGTCAGGCGGCGCAATAATGACCCGCTGGCAGGCGAAGCGACGGGTCTGCAACCAACCGTTGCAGCGGTCAGTTCGCGACGCGTGGCAGAGTTCAAAATTGAAATTCAAATTTTGAATTTTTCGAGCGGGAAAAGCCAGAATCCAAAATTAAAGTCCTGTTTCATATTTTTTACTTCCCGCTTATGACAAAATTGCATAACCGAGAAGTGGAGGGCTTATTGATGGGTGTATTTCACCCATGACCGGTCAAAGGTCCGAATCAGAAAATTGACCGGTCAAAGAAGTCGAGCTCGAAAGGAAGTGATGAGTCGTCAGAGGGTTGACCCAGAACTTTGACCGGTGTACTTCGGATAGCATATCGGTCAAACTTGCCTATGGTCTAAATCCATCCTTCGAAGTTGGCCAAACCAACCTACAAGGACCAACCGGTGCAGTTTTTAGAGATTGGGGAGTGTCGGCAGGAGGAATCCAAAAGGACTTGGACTGTAGTGGTTGGAATTGCATAGATGCTGGAGGAATATTTCCAAACCAGAACGCGACAAAGGCGCAGCCCCCCACGCAAGATGACAAGGCAGTACAGAACCAATCACCTCGCAGCACATCAACGGCGTGCCCCCACGTGGGCGCACGTGGCCTTGTCCCCCTTTAGCCTAGTATAAATACTCATGTAAACCTCAGAAAGAGGGATCGGAATTCCTTCTCTCTAAACTCCCCTGTAAAAGCACCCGTGCATTCTCTTTATTAATATAAAAAGGCTACAGGTGTTTCCACCTACAGTCTTACCGGTCATTCTGAGTGTTTTTACTTTCTTTACTTTACTGAATCAAGCCAACTATTCTAGACCCGGTCTAGTATAGTTTGACCGGTCAAGTAATTTACACCATCACCTGGTGGCAGATGGGGCGAGATAGTCGAAAAGGATGTGTGCAACCAATTACTGTTAAAAAGACACGAATTCATTCTGATTTGTATTTTTATGAATTAATTCGCTTCCGCAACATTTTAAATACTCCGTTATTATAAACAATTATTATTATGAAATAAAGTTAAATTGTTTGAAATGTTTTTGAATGTTTACAATTACCAAGTTAATAATTTAGTCCAAAAGGGGCTGCAGAGCTGGACGGATTAGGGTGTTACATGTGAAGTATTCGGGAAATTAACCTACGATAAAAAGTTTATTGAAAGTTGCTAAGTTAGGATTTGGGAATCGGCTAAGAAAGTTGTTCGTGACATTATTAGTGACAAATACCATGAGTCACCCACAAGTTGTTTTGGAAAAATTATAGGAACTTCTCCTAGATGAAATTTTATTTGATCAAAGGAAAATATTGCGTGATCAAGGTATTTCAAGATAAAGATTGTTTTTAACGTAGTAATTCATACGTAATGCATTATATGGAAACAAAACTCTTTAATTAAGTACTGTATATAAATAATTTTTTCTAATTATTTTTTTGCAGAGCTTATAATCTCACAAGAAGATCTAAAGAATTTATGTCAACTTAATTTTGAAAAGTTGCTTAATTGAAATAGACGGTCTTTAAAGGAATTCAGTGGCATGCCGTTTCTGATGAATATCCACTTAATAGATATCAAAATAATTTTTTGGTGGAGAAAATAAACTATGAAAAAGAAAAGTTACTATTTGATCTTAGGGGACATTTAATGAAGATCAGAGGAATATGTCTAATAAAATATTGGATGTCATGATAGTTGAAAGCGAAAGTTTCTTTTTTGTAAATGGTTACGGTGGAACTCAAAAAATATTTCTCATCTGCTTCTCTAAGGTAAGATGGTAAGGTTGTTTTGAATGTTGCATCCAGCTGCATTATAGCATTACTTTTGTCTAGGGAAAGGGCCGCACACTTGAGATTCTTGATCCTTTTATTGCCAACCAAGTGTTCATCATGTGCCATCAAACAAGAACTAATCCAACAAGCAAGTATAATCATATGGGATGAATCATCTACGACGAGTAGATTTGCTTTTGAGACATTGGGTTGCATAATGAGAGATGTAATGAGGTTCACTAATAATAACTCCATGAATGAATCATTCGGAGGGAAAATAATTATACTGGGAGGTGATTTTATCCATAATCTTTCAATTTTACTCAAAGCTTTGAGAGAGGAAATTGTAGGTGCTACCGCCAGTTCTTCAAAAATATAATTGTATTGTAAAGTTATACATTGACCAAGAATATGAGATTGCACACCCTCTTGCACAAATAGAACACAAGCTTTTTTTTATTGGATAATCAAAGTCGAAAATCGAAAGCTTGGACAAGTGATTGATGGAATTATTGACATTGAAATCCCGTCTGGATTCTTGATACTTGACACAAGTACCCCCTCAAGAGTATAGTAGAATTCACTTATCCAAATCTCTTCGAGAACATGAAAAACTAATCTTTTTTTAGAATAGTGCAATATTGGAACCTACGCTTGAGATTGTTGAATGGTAAACGAAGTTGTCCAATCCCTTATTCCAGGAGGTGATAACGAGTACTTAAGTTCAGATTTCTCATGCCAAGCATATCCAGATGTAGGTGTTGAAGACAATTGGATATAACAGTAAGTTTTTTAATGAAATAAGATGTTCGCGGATCCAAAACCACAAAATAATTTTAAAAACGGGTACCAATTATGTTATTGACGAATATTGACCAAACATCTAGATTGTGTAAGGTAGAAGATTAATTGTTAAAGAGCTACAAAAGAATATTATCAATGTAATTGTGGTTTCAGGAAATCGAGTTTGGAAAAAAGTTTAAATACCCGGATGAATTTGGTACCATCTGATTCAGGATTACCCCCGAAGTTCTAGAGAAGATAACTTTAATTAGTCTTTTGTTTTTCTTTGACTATTAACAAAAGTCAATGTCAAACATTGTCTTTTGTTATACTTCGTGGTATTAGTTTTAACCAATTTGGTATTTACTCATGGTCAACTTTATGTTATTGTTTCAGGAGTGAAGACAAAGATATGATTAAAAATATTAGTTCTAAATGACAATGAACCCTTACAACCATACCTAAAATGTTATGTACCATTGAATTTTTTAAATAAATTGAAATCAAAATAACTTTCTTGAGTAAATTTTTAATTCCTCAAATATTATATATTTTACTTTGGCATTGTTGTGTATTGAAAAAAAATTGGTTAAAAATTACATTAAAAAAATTCAGAATCTATAAGAATTTCGTTCTAACGGGTTAAAGTGCTATTTGTACCCCATGTTATGTACCCCGTAGCTTTGCAACAATACTTTGTGTTGGTGTAAAACTAATTTTTGTTAGTGCACTAACACTTTGTGTCTGTGTAAATTTTTGTTAACAAACCAACACTTGTGTCGGTGTAAACCATTAAAATGTTTGTGTACAAATGTGGTACAATTTGTGGTGTAAGTGTATAGAAAGAGAGAGATGCTAAAGATCGAGTGGCATAGGATCAGTTACCGGATCGACAGTTTAGGAAAATAATAGGAAAAAGAAGAGAAAGGAAGGCAGAGAAAGTAGTATATGGGGGGTGGGAATGCGTTTGTGGATGGCGTTCGTCGATTGTTCCATCGTCGTCCATCTGCTTCTGCTAGCGCAAATGCGGGTTCCGCTCTGACCCATTCTAAAAAGGCCGTTATTCATCCTTTTTCCGATTATCGTTCCCAAACTCCTGCTGGGGAAGGAGGAGAACAGCTTAGAGTAGAAGAGGACTTTGATATTTCTGGTTTGAGTTTGATCAAGGTCCCCAAGCGGGTGGATTTTCCACTTTCCTCCATGGATCATTGCCGGAAGGTTTCCATTTCCTCCTTTTTTATTGATTCCTGATTCTCCCTGTAAATAAATGCTTATATTTGAAACTAATGATCTGTCACGATCAAAAGGATTCTATCTGTCCTATCGATTTTGGGCAGTTTGGATTAACTTTATTTTCTTTGTCATTCGTCACTGTCCTTTTGTTTAATGATGCAATAAAGGGGTGTTTGGCATGTTATGGAGTATAATTTAAACCACCTAGGAAGGCTATGGGTTCTGGCCTGCAGCAGTCACATTTATTCCACCCTTTGCCCCAATTTGTTGTTCCCAGTTTGATGAACACTGGGCATCTAGATTAAGAAATTTTAAGAACTGTGGGAGAATTCACATAATCATTGCCATAAAAGGAAACATGCATGAAATTGGGACTGTCCCGAAAAAGGAAACGGTGCACAGTAGATTCGGACGGGGTGAGTATATATTAGATAACTTATTCTCATGTCCCTAGTGTAATGAAAAGATTGTACTAAATTTAAGGAACTTAGTGTGTATATATGAAAAGCATTCCATTAATGTGTCTAATGGGAAGAGTATGTTATGCAGAATAATCTAGAGAATGAATTCTTTACGGAATATGGAGAGGCAAGTAGGTATCAAGTTCAAGAAATCATTGGAAAAGGTAGTTATGGAATTGTGGGGTCGGCAGTTGATACTCACACTGGAGAACGGGTTGCCATCAAGAAGATCAATGATGTGTTTGAACATGTCTCTGATGCCACCAGAATTTTGAGAGAAATCAAGCTTCTCCGGCTACTACGACACCCGGATATTGTAGAGATAAAACATATCATGCTACCTCCTTCGCGGAGAGAATTTAGAGATATTTTTGTTGTCTTTGAATTGATGGAGTCCGACCTTCATCAGGTAATAAAGGCCAATGATGATCTCACTGCAGAACATTATCAGTTTTTTCTGTATCAGCTTCTTCGTGGACTGAAGTATATTCACGCAGGCTAGTGTTACTTAAGTTTATTTTATTTTGATAAGTCTTAATATCTGTTCACAGCAGTTATTTTTGAAGCCCTTCCATGATCTAAATAGAATTTCCTTTTTGCTTTATTTGCAGCTAATGTTTTCCATCGAGACCTAAAGC